GGGGGTTGGAGGTTGAGGCTGTGGAGAGGGACCTGTCGGCGCTGGGTGCAGGTGGGTGGGTGTGGGCCCGAAATGAATGTGAGCGCATATGCGCGTGTATATGTGTGTCGCGGCGTGTGCGCTGTATGTGTGTTGTCTTGCGTGTGTGCGTGCGTGTGTGCGTGCGCGCTGTGTGTGTGAGGCCAGGTATGTGAGGGGTTATCTGTGGGTGGATGTAGTGTTGTGTGTGTGTGTGTGTGTGTGCGTGTGTGTGTGTATGTGCCCCCATGCGCGCATGTGTTCCAAGCTGTGGTCTGATGGCTGGCTGTCGCTTGGGCAGCAGAGGAGGCGTCAAGCAGCGCAACCGCGCGCGGCCCAATCGCGCGAGGGCGCTGGCCCAGACCACGCCCACCCACCCCACAGCCGTCGCAGCACCCCCCCCCCTCACTCTGCGCACCGCGCTGCCCCGCCGGCTCTGTTCTATCTGACTTTCTTTCCCCAGAGGAGCGCATGTCTGCGCTGCTGGCGGACGCCCCCGAGCTGACGTCACTGCTGGCGGAGCTGCAGGCCTCACTGGCAGAGGTGCGCCACCAGCCGCGGCGCCCGCAGCCTTTTTTGCGCGGCGCAACTTGCACCCGCTCCCCCAGTGCCACCTCTCCCCTGCCGCAGCGGCCTCCCAACCCCTCCTGGTTGAGGTGACGACTTGAGCGCATGCTCGCCCCACCACCGCAGTCAGCAGTCGGGACTCCATCCACCCCCCAACACCCCACCCCCAACCCATCCTGCAACAGCCCGGCACCACCCCAACACCCGGGCGCCACCCCAACACTCCATCGCCTCCCCCCCCTCCCCACCACCACCACGCCCGCCAGGCGCGCCACCGCGTGGGCCCCCTGCTGCGTGAGGTGCGCGAGGGCGGCCTGGCCACCCCCGAGGGCCTGGCCTACCTGGAGGCCAAGCAGCTGTGCCTGCTGCAGTACGCGGCCTGCATCACCGCATACCTGCTGCTCAAGGCGGAGGGCCGCAGCGTGCGCAACCACCCCGTCATAGGGAGGTGGGTGCGCCGGGGGCCGCAGGGCGTGACGCGCCCACGTCCCGGATGGAAGTGGAGGATGCGGGGTGGTGGTGTGGAAA